GCAATGGAACCTTCTGGTTCCTGCGCCAATCGCCACCAATATCAATTGTGTGAGCTTGGGTGCGAGTGCACGCGTGCGTGACTACGTAGAGTATATATAGATCTCTATCTCTTAGCAAAGGTGAATACCAGATGTAAATGGTGCCTCTGGGCAACGGAGGCTTGTATTTTGCACATTTTATAAAAACTTGAGAGAATGAGATTTCTGCTTGTATATTTCTAAAGAGGAAGGAGCCCAAACCATCCTCTCCTTACCACTCCCATCCCTGTGAGCCCCACCTTACCCCTCTGCCCCTAGCCAAGGAGTGTGAATTTATAGATCTAACTTTCATAGGCAAAACAAAAGCTTTGAGCTGTTGCGTGTGTGAGTCTGTTGTGTGGATGTGCGTGTGTAGTCCCCAGCCCGACTGGATTGGAAAAGTGCATGGTGGGGGTCTTGGGGCTGTCCCCACGCTGTCCCTTTGCCCACAAGTCTGTGGGGCAAGAGACTGCAGTTCTCCGTCCTGGGTGTCTGGGCTGCTCACCTGGCCTGTTCAGGCTTCCCACCCCATGCCCTGGGCTGGGCATGCCCCCCGGAAGGGACCCCGGACACGGCTCCCACGTCCAGGCTTAAGGTGGATGCACTTCCCGCACCTCCAGTCTTCTGTGTAGCAGCTTTAACCCACGTACGTCTGTCACATCCAGTCCCAAGACGGCTGAGTGACCCAAGAAAAGCTTCCCCGACACCCAGACAGAGGCTGGAGGGCTGGGGCTGGGTGAGGGTGGCGGGCCTGCAGGGACATTCTTACTGTGCTAAAAAGCCACTGCAAACATAGCAATAAAAACATGTCATTTTCCAAAGCAGGCTCCTGCTTCCGCCTCTGCTGCTCTAAGAAGGGGTTGGGGTACAGGAGGTAGGGGGAACCCCCTCCAACTGGAGCTGCTGCAGTGGGCAAGGCTCTGCTCTGGAGGCCTCTGAGGTCGGCACCCTTCTGGAGAGTGGGAAGGGAGTAGGGAAGGCAGCAGCCCGGGGAAAGCCTCATCCACCTGGAGCCTGGGCACTTGGGGAGAGCAGGACGAGAGTGAGCTGGAAAGCAGCCACACCCGTGGGGAAGGGTGGGTGTAAAGCCATGGGTGCTGAAATTTTCAAAACGTTGCCCCAAGAATTTGTCACTGAACAGGTGCCTTGTGTCACTTGGGCTGGGCTGGTAGCAGCAGAGAGGATAAGTCTTTGCATCAGGGATCAATTTTGAGGTGGAGCCAATAGGGGCTGTGCATGACCAGGATGCAGGGCTCAAAGAAGAGTTAAGGACAACAGATTTGGCCTGAGCAAGAGGAAAGATGGAGCTGCCAGGTCCTGCAACGGGGAGGCAAGGAGAGAATGGTCCGGAGTCAGCCTTGGGTGTGTCATGCAGGAAGTGTCATCCAAGCGGAGATGTCTAGTTGGCAGGTGGACACAGAAGTTCCAGAAAGTACTGGAGATGGAACTTTGCAAGTTCTTACCACATAGAGATGACACTGAAAGCCCTGAGCCTGGGGAGCTCCCAGGGATGCCACAAGTCCGGAGACAATGAGAGGGGCAGAGGGGAGATGCAGCAGCGATGGGGGAGGATGCCTGAGAGCTGGTGGGGTCCCTTCACATGTCAGGGAGGAGCAGTGGCTGGCTCCATCTGTCCAGTGCTGCTGCTGCTGGTGAAGGACAGTGACCTGCAGAATGCTCACTGGGTCTGGCAAGGGGGCCTGGCGAGGGTGGCTTGCGTGAGGGGGTGCGTGTGAAAGGCTGGTTGTGCGATTGAGAAAAGGGGTGGCGGCAGCCCAGTGTTATCTGCAGATAAAGGGAGAGACACAATGTAGTTCATCCAGACAAGGAAATATGAGCCGGTCTAGAAAAGGAAGGAACTCCAACACAAGATAACATGGCTGACCTTGGAGAACATCTGTGAAATGAGCCATCATAAAGGGACACTTGCTGTAGGGTTCTGCTCCTGTGAGACAGGGCCTTACATGAGAGGAGGGAGATCCACAGAGACAGAGGGCAAGTGTGGGTACCAGGGGCTGGGGACAGGGTGAGGAGTGTTGAGTGGGGACAGAGTGTCAGTTTGAGAAAATAAATTCTAGAGGTGGATGGAAGTGGTGGCTGCGCAACACAGTGACTGCACTTGATGGTGAAAATGGCTCATTACATATACATTGATGACACTATATATATGTATGATATATATGCATTTTACCATGAGAAGAAGAGGCGGAGAGGAATTGGAGACAGTGAGTACAGACAGGTCCTTTGAGGGACGGGACCCCATGCACAAGATGAGCATGTGGCACCCCACCCTAAAAGGGCTGGGCGCCGTGGCGGGGCAGAGCAGGCAAGGCAGTGGGCGGCTCAGGTAGGCACAGAGAGCATCAGGGATTGGAGCCTGTGAAGGGGGAGCAGGTGGCCCCTCAGAGCAAAGTAACAGCTTGGGCTGCTCTGTTTGTGTCCTGTCCAGGACTGCTATCGTGCTATGGGAGAACACCCAGAGGCCCTGCTCCTCAGCAGGCAGCACCCCCTATGAAAGGGCTTTACCCCTAAACTTCTAGAGCCAGGGGAGGGACCTGGCTTGGAATACGGCCAAGAAGAGCCTGGGTGAGAAATACATGGACCGGGCAGGGAGCAGAGAAAGGAGTGGCAGTGCAGTCCCACCCTAGCTCAGCTGGGGGCTCTGGAGCCTGTCCTGCGGTCCCCAGGCCCCATCTCTTCAGCACTATTGTTTCCAGTTTTCTTTCTCTTCCTGCGAAGCCTCTCCTCTCACCATGCCTGTACCTTCAAGAACCCTGCCTGCTGGCAGCTCCCAAATCTCCAGCCTGGCCCTCCTTAGCTGCAAAGGTGCTTCCAAACGTCAAGACCTCTCCCCAGGGTGCCCCAGTCCCTCACACAGCCCCTGCCCCCAACCAACTCCAACTGTCCTGCAGCCCACGGTCACCCTCAGGACCCCTTGAGCTCAGGCCAACTGCTTTATATACTGTCAGCCAGGTCTCTCTGCCTGGATGACAATCACCCTCTGCTAATTGTTCTCCACAACTCCAGGCCAAATGCTCTCCAAGTCACCTCATGCACCACAATGACACCAAACACACAGAAAAAAGACATTGAAGAAAGGAAACTTCACAGAGGCGTGTCATTTAAAGTGGGTCCTGAAATAGAGACACCATTTCCTCAGGACTTAGCTCCTGCATCAGGGGTTAGGACACAGAGATCAACAAGCAGCAGGCTTTGCCCTCAAGCAGCTCGCAGTCTAGCGGAAGATGGGTAAGAAAACAGATCAGGACGCCCACGGGTGTAGATGCCCTGGAACAGAAGCTGATCCAGGAAAACGTGAGCCTGCAGGTCGCCCTCCAGTCTAGGCTGGGCAAGCGCCTCAATTTCCATCTCTAAGAGCCTGTGCCCCCTCCCCCCGCCCAGTTGTTGTTCCATCACTCCACTAGAAAGGGCACTCCAGCCGGGCGCGGTGGCTCACGCCTGTAATCCCAGCACTTTGGGAGGCCGAGGCGGGCGGATCACAAGGTCAGGAGATCGAGACCACGGTGAAACCCCGTCTCTACTAAAAAATTACAAAAAATTAGCCGGGCGCGGTTGTGGGCGCCTGTAGTCCCAGCTACTCGGGAGGCTGAGGCAGGAGAATGGCGTGAACCCGGGAGGTGGAGCTTGCAGTGAGCCGAGATCGCGCCACTGCACTCCAGCCTGGGCGACAGAGCGAGACTCCGTCTCAAAAGAAAAAAAAGTAAAAAAAAAAAAAAAAAAAAGGGCACTCCAGAAGCTGGCCTCGTGAAGCTTTCTGTCTGCTGCTGGCCTAGGCAGAACAGCGGAAAAGGCTGTCAGGGCTGGTGAGGGAAGCACCCATTTGGACTTTAGCCTTTCAAAGCTCAGAGAAGGGTGAGCTCAGGGAGGTCCAAGGTAGCAGAGAACATTTCCTGGAAAAGTGGGATCAGCCTTCGGCCTTGGCACAGCAACCAGAGGGCATCGCCCACGTGTCCCCTACTCCCTCAGACACCACCTCTCAGACCGCCTGGAAAGGGACAGAACTCAGCATGAAGCAGCTGTGCTCTGAGCACAGGGAAGGGTAACAGGATGCTAGAGAAGGGAACCACTGGCGTGGGCCCGGACAGGACAGGCAGAAGTGAGCATGCACAGCAGGCCATCAGCTACCCTGCCAGCATCAACATCCTTCAGGGGTCCCCCACCCCCGGTTCTAGGAGACACACCTCTAACCTGTTCCCCTGACCCTTCCGCCCAGTCCTCATGCAGACACCAGGCATGGCAGAGGCCCTGCAGGGTGGGAGCACTGTGCTACGGGCGGGGGCTGCCTTCCTCATGTGCTACTAGAGAGCAGCACAGTGCAGAGGCCTGGGCACCAGCGCCAGGCAGCAAGCCCCGGTTCTGGCCTGGCTTGCTGTGGGCCTGGAAGACACAGCTCTGAGGGAGCCACGCGAGGGACACCCTGGAGCCAGCACAGCGCTCTGGTGGCAGGCACACACCCAATACGTTCTCAGGGCCGGGGGCCCCAGCCCATTCCCAGCCCCTTTCTGCCTAGCTCTGCCCTGGGCCAGCTCCAGGTCACTGCCAAGGACAAGTCTCCTCTCCCAGCTGGCATTAGTCAGAGGTCATCCTGCAAACCTTCAGGAGGGGGTGGGGCAGGGAGTGACTAGTGGCGTTCTGCCACGTTCTGTCTGTCCCAAATGTGACGAACAGGAACCCAGAGAAGGCAAGCGAGTCCTCTACCCGGAAGCCCCGCCGCTTTACTGAGCCTCCCAAGCTGCCCACACCCAGGGAGGCAGACAGGACACACACTCGGCGGGTGGCCCTGAAGCGAGGCCTGGCCCGGCCCAGGGAGCAGGAGGGCAGACAGGGCAGGGCCTTTGAGAACAGGTGTGAGCCTGGCCTTCAGTGGGGGAAACAGGTTGAAGGGCTGTGGCCGCTTGGGGGCTCCGGGCAGGAGAGGAAGCAGAGCCCTCCCCACAGCCGCAGTCACACAACACACCACGTACACACCATGACAACATTTATTGCCCTCAAGAGAAACTCCAGTCCACCTGCTCCACCCACCCTCCTGCGGGACCAAAGAAAACACCCAGAGGGCAAAACTAAAAGGGCTCAACCCAACAGGAAGTCAGCCCCACCGCAAGCCAGACTACAACTAACTCGTGCCCTCCACGCTCAGGCGTGGAAGCCAGGGCTGCGCCAGGCCTGGCCAGGCCAAGCCAAACAGGATGACAGCAAATGCATTCTGAATGTGTAGCAATCAGGTCCCCTGTAATGTGCTGGGAGAGTGTGGACGGGCCGAGATGACGAGCTATGAGCTGTGGAAGGGAATGGGGGAAGCAGAAGGGCACAAACAGAAGTACTGGAGGAAGAGGCTGGGCTCTCAGGAAGCAGCAGGCACGTGCCAGGTGGAAGCCAGCTGCAGGCAGGGGAGGAAGGAGGCCCTTACTCTTCCTTCTTGTCCATGGGACCATCTACTGCAGCCTGGAAAGGGACAGAAATCCCACAGCAGTAGGTTGGTTGGGTCCACTCCTCCCCTGTCACCTCCAGCCCCATGCCCCAGAGGTCCAGCTCAGTTCTCCTATCTCCTAACAACAGCTGAATTCAATTAAGCAAGGGGCCCCCTCCTCAGCTGTACCCAAAGGCCTGCCAGGGTGGGAGCGTCAGCCCTGGCCCACCCTCTAGGATAGGGAAAGCCCTGGACCTAATGCCAGCCAGGGAGGACTGCCAGTACCTCACTGGGGGCTGAGTCCTGGCTGCAGGGAACAGCAAGGCATCCAGTCCCCTTGAAGACCTGATCAGGCCCTTCCCAACTCTGCACAACTTTGACAGGTGCCCTCGAAGCCCAAGTCCCGTTCGCCAAGCCTGCCCCATACAGAGGGCATGGGTGCCCCCTCTGAGGCTGGACCCTTCCTCCCCATCTGCTGTGGTGCCCAAACTTGGGCCACCAAGCACTGATGCCAGGTGTCCAAAGTTGGGAGTATTTACGTGGCCCTCACTCCCAACGTCAAGACCTCCTGGGCTTCCAGATGCAGCCCGGTGCACCCAAGCTAATCTGAGGACTCGGATCAGGCCTAGGGCAGCAGGCGATGGCAACAACTAGTGCCTGCTGGGGGAGGTGCCTTTTTGACACCTTATGCCCTCACTTGCCCAGGGATGTTTGCCCAACATCACCCCCCCAGTGCTCTAGGAAAGAAGGCCACCAGTGGGTCCTAGAGTTTCACCTGCTTCTCTGTTCTTGACGGGGCCCCAAACCATGGACTGAACCTGAGCACAAAGGTAGGAAGGCTCAGAGCCTAGTGAGCCAGTGCCACTCCTGAGGGCCGCCTCGGCAAGTGCCTACATCTGCTGCCAGGCCACCCTCTCCTGTCCGGTGAAGAGTCCCACTCAGCAGGGCAGAGGTGGCCAGGGGGAGTCGGGGATAGGGCAGCCGGCCCCTCGGCCCCTGGAAGGTTCCCTCCCCACCCGTGGGGCTGCCTCATCCTGCTGTTCTGTCCTGGGCACAGTGACACGGGAGGGCTGACCTGCAGCTTTGCGTGTTCCTCCAGCAGGCGGTCGTACTCCTTGGTGAGGCCCTCAGACTGCTTCCGCATGGCCAGAACCTGGTTTTCAGCTTTCTCTAATTCTTGAAATGATGTAAATGACCAAGAAAACAGAAATGAAAAGACCAGAATTAGGGGGAAAAAAAACAACTGCTACAGACATAAGAAACTGGCCCAAATCCATCTCAAAGGAGGTTATACAGGAGACTACTTCTCAAAGCCCCTCTGCTTTTGCAGGTCCCCAAAGTAGAAGGAAAGGGCTGACAAAAAAGCTAGATAAAGCAAAAGAAATACAGAGGATGTCCCCCAGTCCCTTTCATGGAGGGGAACTCTAGTGGCTTTCTGCAGGGGTAACCTCCAGGGAGGCTGAGAGTGGGAAACAGGGAGCAAGATCCCAGCCTGAAAGCGACACCCAATGACAACCATGTCTTGCAGACAGCAGCAGCAGGCGAGGCCTGTGATGTTGGGGGCAAATGCCCCAGACTTAGTCTATGCGTGGGAGACCAAAGATAGGCAGGCCGCTCGGGAGCCGCCCACTCCCCTCCTGAACGCCACTCACACACTCCCCTCATTCTCAGCCCCCAGGCATGCTGGGGCTACCACGCCACACTGTGGACAGGAAAACCCCAGTGTGCATTGCTCTAGCATGGGGCAATCGAGGCCCACCAGCTGCAGCCTGGTTCCTCCTGAGCCCCATTCAAACCACTTAGCCTCACTGGCCTGAGGGCTAAGCATGACTGCATTGGGGATGGAGGCACAGGGTGCTATTTGTTTGTTTTCAGCCAGCCCTCCAGCGTGCATGCAAGGCTTGTTACTAATAGTTTGGCACAAAATGGGCAGCAGCAGGCAGAGGAGGCTCCTCTGGACTTCCCTCCAGGTAAGGACACAAGGTCGAGCCTCACTTTGCTTAGTGCTGGCCAGCTCATCATTTAGCTTCTGCAGGTCAGCCTTCAGGCTCCTGTTCTCTGCCTCCAACTTCACCTCAGCATTCCCGACATCCAACTTGCCTCCGTCAACAGCAGCTCCCTGGGAAAAGTGCCAAAGGCCAAGGTTACTCAGGAGGGAAGGAGGGAGAGGCTCCAGCCCCATCCTCCCCACCGAGATGCGGTTCCTCAAGCTGCCCTGGCGACTCGCCCCTTCGGAAATGTCAACGCAGAACCGAGCCACCACTTGCTCCCAGCTCCTAGGCAAAGGCCAGGGCGTGGCTGCCAGCCGAGGGAAAGAGAAGCGCCAGCGGGGCCACCTGCTGCAGCTCGCCAGGCACGCCTTGTCTGCCCTGGCCCCTGGCCCTGCCTCCTTCCTGAGCAGCAGGGCTCACCAGCTCCATGGTGCTCACCAACCCCTCCACGGATGATGGTGCCTTCTGCTCCCCACGTGGTGCCGTTCGCTGCCGTAAGGAGCCCGCTGTCTGCCTGGCCAGCTCTATCCCACTTCTGCATCCACATCCCTCCAAGCTTGGCTCGCAGCTCGCCTCCTGACAGGATGTCTAGGACTTGCCAACCACTCTGCCCCCACCTCCTCTCCAGCACTGAGGGATGCCACAGACCCCATGTTCCAGAGGGGGTGCGGCAATCTTGCAGGGAACAAGGGCCTAGCTGAGGGCCTTCAGTTCACACAGAGGGCCTGGCTCACTGAGGGGCCGTTTTTCTCAGGGAAGGGTCTGACTGGAAGCAGTGGATGGAAATGAGAGCAGCAACACCCTCCTCCTCACCCGGACCCTCGTACACAGACACCTCCAGCGGGCATACCCTCCCCATCGAGGACTTCCCCTCTGTGCCTCCACCCAACTCTGGTTTTTCAGGCAGTGGAAGTTTCATACATTTCCCAGCGTGACTGGCTAGCAGTGGCCACTGAGGCCCTACAGAACGTGGCTCCCACGGTGTAACACCAGGGCGCCCCATGGCGGGTCAGGAAGCTGGGCTCACCTTCTTGAGCTGGTCATTCTCCTCCATGTACTTCTTGGCCGCCTCACTAGCACTCTCTGCCTGCTTTTTAAAGGCTTCATTAGAGGCCAGCAGTGTGGCCTGCTGCGAGATGAGAGTCACCAGGCGTCTAAGCAGGCTGCAATTATTTACAAAAAGAAGGGAGAAATGAGAAAAAGAGCATGAAGCGCTGGCAGGAGCACCTCCTGGTTGCTCCCACCCCACACCTGGTTCCAGCCTGGGCCTGCCTTCTTGCCAAGGCAGCCGAGCGAGAAGCCGCCAACCTGGTGCTGGCAGCGGGTGGGAAAAGGTGGGGCTCAGAAGCTGTCCTCTTCCGCTGTGCCCAACGGCCACCCTCAGCTCTGGGAGGGGCTGGAAGCAGGAGCCTGGGGGGTTGGGAAGAGCCTTGCTACAGCATGAGGTCCCAGAACGCAGCACTTTCCAGATCGGGGCCTAAACGTGCCAGACAAGCCACAGCACCACCTTCCTCCCTGCGAGGCCGGGCTTGCCTCGGTAAGGTAACAAGAGAAGCTAATCAATTCGGGCACTTCCAACATGCCGGGCCGCATTCTCACATCTACCTGATGAGGAAGTTACTATCACTGCCCCAGCTTATAGACGAGGAAACTGAAGTTTAGCAGAGTAAATCAACATACCCAAGGCCAAAAACCAGAAATGGACATGGCTGGAATTCCAACTTATGTCTGCCTGACTCTGGAACCTGAGCTCAGAACCACTATACTCTCTAAACTAACAAGGAACAGCTCCCAGGTCCCAACGTAAGATAGAACTCTCTACTCTGGCCAGCCTCCATCCCAACCCATCATGCAGGCTGCGCTGGAACACATCTGTTATGTAACAGCACCCCGAATGAGGTCTTCTTGGGCTGGAGGGTGTAGAGGAATCAGGACACAGGCGCACGCTGCCTATCTGAAGCAGCCAGGAGAGACAGGCAAACAGGTGGCAGCTGGAGGCAGATGCTGGTCCCCAAGCAGAGGTTAGAATGGCCACTTCATTTCCCTTGGTTCACCCCTGCCCCGAAATGTTAGCTGGCAGGAAGAGAAGAGGGAAGGACTTGTTCAAACAGTCAAAACAAGGCAGGGGTACCTTTCTCACACACTTCAGAAGGTAAGGGACACACAGGGCATGGGAGAAGGAAGAAACAAGTCTGCTTAGTTCAGGGTGCTTCAACAACAGCTTACTCAGAAGAGTCGAAGTGGCCTCCTGCCCCAGCCAGGCCTTCACACTTCACAGCCTCTGCTCATGGCCAGGGGCAGCCCGGAAGGGCTAGAGAAAGTAGAGAGCAGACAAGGTGAGCTACCTCCCTGGCCCAAGCCATGGCTGTCCAGGGCCTCAGCAGAGCCCCTTTCTAGACGTACTCAGCACAGAAAGGACCCACCCGGGCCAGGAGATGCCCCTGAGGTTCCTGGTTTGGGGAGAGGCTCCCAGGAGCCCCTGGCAGCACCAGGAGAGCCAGGCCATTGATTCCTGGCAGAGAAGGAGAGTTTCCAATGACATGTGCTTTCTAAAATTAGCGGCCCAGGACCTCGTGGCCTAGGGCTCAGGTTTCCCTGCCTCAGCCCCCCAGCTGCCCACCAGCCTGCCTCCAACTGGGCTGGAGCCTGAAGGTAGAGGAAGCTACTGAGCACCCTAGGAGCCAGAGAGAAACAACGTGTCTGACTCACATCGGCATGGCCAGAAGTCACTGGGGAGACCTAGAAAGAAAGGCAAGTCTGACTAAGACCCAGCCCCCTGGCAAAGAGCTGCCCAGCCCCAGAGCAGATCCCAGTGATGTAGAAAGAGGAAGAGGACTGCTCCTCCCAGCTGGAATTGAGGGGTGGGGGTCATGCCACCTGGTGGTAGAGACAGGACCAAGCAAGACTGAAGGCTATACTCCCCGCCACCAGGCCAGGCAAGTGGCTGCTGGTGAGTGCTCATAGCTATCACCCCAGTACCCAGGGAGACAGCTAACACGAATGCTTCCGCGGCAGTGCAGGAGAGGCCCAGCTCTTTTCGGACCGTCCCAGGCCTTTCCCGGCTATTGAGAACCAGGGCTTCCAAGATAAGCCAGGGCACACACAATGTGCGGCGCAAAATCCACTGCCCGAAAGCCTGGCCCTGCTCAGCCCCAGCCCGGGCCTTCAGTTCCCAGCCTTGAGACAGTCTGGGGCTCCCCTGTGCCAGGTCCCAGTTCCCCTTCCTCTTGCCAACCCTCACAGGCGCTCCCCACCCCCACAGCACCCTGGGCATACTCCTCCCATTGCACCCCCAGCCCGACAGTTCTTTTTCACACCTTCTAGGTCCTCTCTCTTCCTGCTGAACGACCCAGGATCATTCTCCCCCCAGGAACCTCGTCTTCAACTGCCTCCTTCCTGGAGTCACCCTGACCAAGTTCCTGGTCTTTTCCTTCACATATATTCCTCAACCTAGGCTGGCCAAGGCCTGCCCTTCCAAGCCAGCAGCAGGGCCACCAGTGGCCTCCTAACCGCCAGTCCAGAGGCCACCCTGAACTCCTTGCTCTGCTGCTAAGTTACCCTCCGAGGTTCCCTCGCAACACCCTCCTCCCAGGGTTATTCTGCTCCCTCTGGAGTCTGCACTCTTCAGCTGACACCCTTCCTCCCAGCCACTCTTATCCCTGAAAGGGTTTTCTCTGCAGCCCAGACTCACACCTAACCTCCTGCTAAACGTTGGCTCCTGGATGTCCCCAGAGACATTCCAGACTCAGCTTGTCCAAAACAGGCCTTCCTTTGCCCTGCCTGACCTGACCACCTCATGTAGCCCCTGCTGTAGTGGAGGACAGGCAAACCGCCTTAGACTCGGCCCTCTTGGCCTCTTAGCCCGAGCCACAACCCAGTACTTTCCATGTCAACTGCAAACACGCCCGCCATCATTCCCACTGCCGGCGCCTCTTCCCTATCTGCCGCCATACGGCTTTCCCATCCACCTCCCAGAGCAAGGCAAATCCAACCACATCAGCCCTCTGCTTAAGCCACCTGCTGTCAGCACGCAGGCCCTCAGTGAGCTCTCCTCCCTCACTAACCACGTGGTCCCCTTGCTCTAGTAACACCTAACCCCTCACCATTCCTGGAACATGCCTGGCTCTGTGTGGCAGTCCTCCAGGCTGGAATGTCCTCTCAACCCAGCTCGATCCTCACCTCCCCGAAGAAACCCTTTCGGATCTCCCACCCCATCAGAGGGATGCCTTCTGGGGGCTCCTGCAGCAGCCCCCTAGGCACCCACATGTAACTACCTCATTTTCTGTTCTCTGCGTGGCTGCCATCCGTTTATATGGCTGCCCCACCAGGCTATGAAAGTCTTTAGGCTGGGCACTGTGCCTCCATCTCTGCACTCCCATACCTGGCACACTGACAAGGGGTCTTCCGCCCACTCCAGCAAGTATAGCTAAAAAAAGGCTGGGCTTCCAGATGACCCGATCTCACTCCCAGAAGAGGAAGTGCTCCCTGACAGGTGAGGGGACAGGTTTGAGGCTGCACGTCAGGCTGGACAGAATCTCCCTGGGCCTAGACTGCACCTGCGTTCACCTGGGAGCCTGGCACCAAGAGGGGCAGAGGCAGACACAGAGCTGCTCAGTCTAGCAGCCGAAGAGACAGAAGCCAGTGGGAAGGAGCTGTCTCCGACCCGTGCTGATGAGCAAGCCAGGCTCATGGCTGCAGGGGGAAAAACCATTAACTGCCGCGAGCTGAAGGCGTAACCCAGAGCTCCAGCCTCTGCGTCCTCGCACCCTTAGCCCCCACCCAGGGCCCCAGCAATGCAGACCAGGCCCCCTCTGATCACTGGCATTTTTCAGCCTAGGAGCCAACCTTCTAGAACATTTTCCTGCTCCCTCACACTGGGTCACTCAGGAACATTAACGTGTGCTTCTGTCTGTTCCCTTGTAGCTTCCCAGGCGCCCAGGAGAGGGCACGGAACATGGCCTTTACCTTCTGCCTCTACTGGATCTCCCAAGTAGTCTTACTTGGGAGAATCACTGTTCTTAGCTATTCATTTCCAGAAAACAGGCAAGAACCTAAGAGCCAAAGGCATCTCCTACAGATATAGGGTGGTCACCAACAGAATGGCCCAGGGTCCAAGAAAAGGCCAGTGAATGAAACTTAATAGAATCCAGATGTGGCCTTGGCAGACACATGGCAGCTCCAAATGCCTCAATGTAACTGGGCTTTCTTGATAGAATGTTCTTGGACACTAAGCAGGGCTATCGTGCTTTTATAAAAGGTTGAGTAAACCAGAGAAGGCAGGAGAAACAGAACCTCTCCACAGACTCTAGAGAAACAGGGCCAACCATATCAAGTAGGGAGAGCCATGACTCATAAGTCCTTTTCGGCAGCCCTGTCTTCCCCCATGAGCAAGGGGAAGAGGACATGGACTTAATAGGAAATGGGGAGGCCGGGCGCGGTGGCTCACGCCTGTAATCCCAGCACTTTGGGAGGCCGAGATGGGCGGATCATGAGGTCAGGAGATCGAGACCATCCTGGCTAACACGGTGAAACTCCGTCTCTACTAAAAAAATACAAAAAGCATGGCCGGGCGCGGTGGCTCAAGCCTGTAATCCCAGCACTTTGGGAGGCCGAGACGGGTGGATCACGAGGTCAGGAGATCAAGACCATCCTGGCTAACACGGTGAAACCCCGTCTCTACTAAAAAATACAAAAAACTAGCCGGGCGAGGTGGCGGGCGCCTGTAGTCCCAGCTACTCGGGAGGCTGAGGCAGGAGAATGGCGTGAACCTGGGAGGCGGAGCTTGCTGTGAGCTGAGATCCGGCCACTGCACCCCAGCCTGGGCGACAGAGCAAGACTCTGTCTCAAAAAAAAAAAAAAAAAAAATACAAAAAGCTAGGCGGGCGAGGTGGCGGGCGCCTGTAGTCCCAGCTACTCGGGAGGCTGAGGCAGGAGAATGGCGTGAACCCGGGAGGCGGAGCTTGCAGTGAGGGGAGATCCCGCCACTGCACTCCAGCCTGGGCGACAGAGCGAGACTCCATCTCAAAAAAAAATAAAAAAAAATAAAAAAAAAAAAGGAAATGGGGAAAGAGCAAATCCCGACCAAAAGATTCCATGCTATGGCTCCCCCCGCCACCCCCTGGGCCCACCCTGCCGATGGGTTTCAGGTGAGTCAAGTCATTCA